GCTTCTTTTTTCAGAAAATGCTGATGTCAGCATTTTTGTTGAGATTCAAGGCTGATTATCTGGAAAAAATACGTGGTTACCCCAATTTTTCTTTGTGGATTCCAATGGCCCTTGCATGGCGTGGTCCTAACCCGGCGCAAAAACCTTTGTATTTAGTAGGCACCGTCCTTAAAACAGTTGATTCTAGTCGATTTAAAGAAAAGTTTATATGAGTGTACCTACCTACCTACCTACCTACCTACCTACATACATATCTAGCTATTTTGTAGTTTTAGCCCGAAATTGCCTCGTATCCACGTTAGATTACATTTTAACGGAAAACTGGCCAATCACGTTCTACGGACCACACATATAAGATCATCGACTGACAAAAACTATTCACTTGACTCTGAAGATGACTTCCGCTCAGGTTGTCGAAACGTCAGTCACCAAGAACAGTTCTTTTCAGAACTACCCTCACCAGGACGATCACACTATACGAACTACTGATACTCCTGGGTTCAAACCATTTACTACGAATTTAAGAGTAGCTATTGACAAGCTAATTTTTCCGAGAGAAAAATAACAGAAGAAATCAAAATAATGTACTGTAACATACAAACTACAATTCTGTACAATATTTACAATTAACGGCCAGAATGAAGTAAATCTCAGTATACTGAATATTTTAAAATACAGTGAAACCTGTATTAAGCGGGCACCCTCTCAGTAAGTGGACAACGGCTTGAGTCCCAAAATTTGCTTCCTACATTTACTGTAAAAGAAACCTGCATTCAGCGGACACCTTTGTTATATAAGCGGACACGGACACCAATATTAAGCCATTTTGTTGCACAAAACCTGCATTAAGCGGACACTTCAAGCGCATTTTACCTCTAAAGGTTCAGCTGAGACTCCTTTTAACATTGTTCAGCGATGTCGTTTTAAAGCTAAGTGATTATTCCAGATTGATACATTGACTGACTGGACATTGTGCTATGAGCAGTCTTTGATCTCACACTGTGTTACGCTGTGTTACAAAAGGGTTAATAATTAACTATTATTGCACAACATATTAGAACCTGTTTTGAGAGGACATCCTGTATTAAGCGGACACTAATGAGGGTCCCAAGGGTGTCCGCTTAATGTAGGTTTCACTGTACTATATTAAGCAGAAACTGAATTTAATTTACAAAATGTCCCAAATTTACATTAAGTTAAGGTTAGCTAATGCTTTTTTAGAGTCATTAAGGTTTAAAGTTCGAACATTGTCCGGCAGTGAGTTCCTTTGCTTAACGGCACGACATGATAAGAAGAAGAGCGAAGGCCATAAGTAGTAGTTTTTGCTACAGGGAGTGTCAGAATGTAGTTACCGCGTAAATTATACGAGGTAGTACGGAGAGTAAACATATTCCTCATGTAGATAGGATAGTTAGTTAGAAATAAACTTTTGTAGAGTAAAATTAACATATTGTGTATACCGCTCTGTTATGTAGAGAAACACAGTGACTTGGTCCAATGAGGTATTATATGTACATTCAAAATCATCTAGAACGATTCTAAGACTCCTTTGATTGAGGGCATCTAGTTTCTCAGTATTTCGCGCGCCGCAGAAATTCCACACCGATGGACAATAGTGACAGTGCCGTAAGATAAAGACCTTAGACAGTTTAACCAAAGTGATTTTTCTAAATCTTATCATGACATTTAAGTGATTATTTATCTTTTTACCAACCGAAGATACGTGTTTATCAAACTGAAGTTTGTTGTCAATGTTCATACCAAATATGTCAATTGACTCTTTCACTGGAAAGGAGAAGATATACTCCGTATCACCAAGGATCAAGGCCTGTTGTTTAGTTTCGTTGACAATCATACCGTTGTGATTGTACCATTGATTTTCTGCTTCAACGTCCTTACAAAAAGCCTTCTTCTAGTGCCACCGGAGCCCTGTCTGAGTAATAAATTTGATGGTCGTCAGCATACGCGTTTAGCTCAGCTCTTTTTATATGATAGAAAAGATCGTTTATAATATATTAAAAAGAATGGGGCCTAAAACGTTACTCTGAGGCACCCCTCGCTTAACAGTCTTATGTTAGATTTTAATACTTTTTATTTTTATGGAGGACCTCCCTAAAAACCACGTATTACGTGACGGGCGCTTCCTCTTTAAAGATTGTTTTTATTGTTATTATTATTATTTTAGTCTCCCATGACGAGAAAGTGTCACCAATCTTCACCCTCTGTTGTTGATTTGACAGATAGTCTCTTAACAGGGCACAGCTGTCCTCGTCTAGTCCGTAGGCTTTGAGCTTGGCTAATAATAGGGGTTGCTGTATAACATCAAAGGCCTTTGACAAATCCATCGACACTATCCCCACGAGTTGCCATCACCACGCATTGACCTCCACTCTTCTGTCATTCTTAATAACGAACTTTCACAACTGTGGAACTTTCTATACGCGCTTACAAAATCAGACAAAACAGAACTATAAAAATCATTTAGCTGTACGACTAAAATCCTCTCATAAATATTGTTGATGGCTGGCAAAACTGTGACCGGCCTGTAGTTTGTCTTACTCAATTCGTGTCATAAGCACTCAATTCAGTGTCATAAGCATGTTTAACGTACGCATCGAATAAACATGATTTCCAAGTATTACAAAGCCACTAATTCAAATTGAGTAAAACTTGATATCTTCGTCTCGACGAAAATCAAGTTAAGCTATCCACAATCTTTTTCATTATTGTTCAGTCTCATTTTTGGGTTCTTATCATATCTGCTATATTGAACCATTTTTTGCAATCAAGCAACCATAGAAGAGGATGTACCCCGAAATGAGGACTTGTGACTTTCGTGGTGTACCTATTGCTTCCCTAT